GGGGGGGGGGTGCCAGGCTCCAGCGCCTTCCCCCCTCCCCATGGGACTCCCGCGCACGGCTCCAGGTTAGTCGGGGCGCCGCGGAGGAGTCGGATGGGGCCAAGCGCCCCTGGCGAGCTGCCGCCGAGCTGGTGAGCGGAGCTTCAGGCGTGCCCCGGGCGCTAGCTCCGAGTTCCCGAGCCAGCGCCGGAGGGGCCCATCCCCGTCGGCTCTGGGCGCCCGGCTCCGCGCTGCTCCTTACCGGTGCTGACAGACCCTCTTGAGGGCGCGGCCGTCGGCGCCCCCCGGCTCCTTGGCGCTCCGGGGCCCGTCCTGCGGCGGGGCCAGCGCGGCGTCCGGCTCCCCGGCGAGGCTGCCCATGAGCGCGGCCGGTGCGGTGCTGCCCTGGCCAGGAGAGCGAGCGAGCGGCCGGCTGGAAGTGGAGCCTTTTATCGCCTGACCGGCTATCGGGCCGGGCCAGCCGCCCCGCCCCGGCCCGTCCGCGGGGCTCGCTGCGGGGCGAGGAGGGGGCTTCCTGCCGGAGACTGCGGGGCTTGGTCACGTCCCAGTGGGGACGGCTCCCCCCCAGTGTCGCCCAGCGCGCCCTCAGCCCGTGCCCGAGCCCCCCCACACACACACACACAGTGCCCCTAGGGTGCTCTCCCCAACCCCGTGCCGGGCATGAGCCTGTCTCCGTGCCTGACCCAAGCTCACCACCCTCTGGGACTGCCCCCCACTTGCCCATCCTACCCTGGGCTTCCCCTCCCTGCTGCCCACCCTGTGCCCACCTGATGTCCCCTCACCCATCTCACATGCACTCATCAGCCCATACCCCCCATCCCATGCCCACCTGCTAGCCTGAAGCGCCTCACATCCCATGCCCACCCGCCAACCCTGGGTGCTCCCCTCCCCCTCACAGTGTAGTTTCAGCAGTTCTTGATCTCAGGTGGGGCCAGGCAGCCCCATCTCTTCCCTCCAGCGAGGGCTGCTTTGCTGTAGTCTCTGGTTTCCCTGTCCTTATGGTACCAACCCAGGTCCCCCTGCAGCCCCAGCCCGGCATGCCTTATCCAGCGCCCCGAGCCCTGGAGATGGGTGGGAGACTGGCCAGGGTACCTCTGTACACACCCCACAGGTCGATGTCTCAAAACTTGCCATCCAGCTGTGGGGTGATAGTAATTTAGCCATCACATAAGACACAACAGAAGAGTGTTTGTCCCAGCTCTGCGGCGCTGCGCATGGGCTTTCAGCGGTGATGGGGGGATGCAAGTCACGGGCACCGCAGCACAAGGGGGGACACTGAGCAGATGGAGGGGCAGTTTCTAACTGAAGCAAGTTGCACTTAAATCTTGTTGACCCTGATCATAAAGCATTTGAACAGTATCTGGAGCTTGGCATTAGAAAAAGTTCAGAGAAGGGCAACTAAAATGATTAGGGTTTTGGAACGGGTCCCATATGAGGAGAGATTAAAGAGGCTAGGACTTTTCAGCTTGGCAAAGAGACGACTAAGGGGGGATATGATAGAGGTCTATAAAATCATGAGTGTGTGGAGAAAGTGAATAAGGAAAAGTTATTTACTTGTTCCCATAATATAAGAAATAGGGGCCACCAAATGAAATTAATGGGCAGCAGGTTTAAAACAAATAAAAGGAAGTTCTTCACACAGCGCACAGTCAACCTGTGGAACTCCTTGCCTGAGGAGGTTGTGAAGGCTAGGACTATAACAGGGTTTAAAAGAGAACTGGGTAAATTCATGGAGGTTAAGTCCATTAATGGCTATTAGCCAGGATGGGTAAGGAATGGTGTCCCTAGCCTCTGTTTGTCAGAGGGTGGAGATGGACGGCAGGAGAGAGATCACTTGATGATTCCCTGTTCTGTTCACTCCCTCTGGGGCACCTGGCATTGGCCACTGTCAGCAGACAGGACACTGGGCTGGATGGACCTTTGTCCACGCACCCCCATTCTTATGTTCTTGGCCTTGGGAGGCACCGCTGGGGCTGGGCCAAGGACCTTACTGGGGCAGGAATATCTGACCCTCCAGACTGGATCAGACTAAAGTCCCCCCCAGCCCAGTCTCCTGTCTGCTCCAGGGGGAGGGAGATGTGGGTAACCAGCCCGCCGAGGTCTCCTTGGTTAGTCACTAAGGGGGATGTGAAACAGCATCTGCGAGGGACACACGGTTTTGTCTCAGCCAGCCTGGATAACTGGCACCCAAGAGTCATGGGATGGGGGTGCCCCAGGCTGTCCGTCTGTCCATTCCCCACAGCCTTCTGTCTGTCCATCCATCCCACACAGCCCCCTGTCTGTCCATCCATCCCACACAGCCCCCTGTCTGTCTGTCCATCCCACACAGCCCTCTGTCTGTCCGTCTATCCCACACAGCCCCCTGCTATCCATCCCACACAGCCCTCTGTCTGTCCGTCTATCCCACACAGCCCCCTGCTATCCATCCCACACAGCCCTCTGTCTGTCCGTCCATCCCACACAGCCCCCTGCTATCCATCCCACACAGCCCTCTGTCTGTCCGTCCATCCCACACAGCCCCCTGCTATCCAGCCCCCACAGCCCTCTGTCTCTCTATGATCAGCACCAGAGCTCTGGCCTCCCAGAGGCTATAGCCAAGCCCGTTACCATAGTCCATGCTCCCCTGGCATTCCCCTGGCCATCTCACACTCCTCGGTTCATAGATGTGAAGGCCGGGAAAAAGTTGGGAATGACTAAAGCGTCTTCCAGAAAGGCCCCGGGCCTTGGCCAAAGCCATGGAGAATCCATCACCTCCTTCTTGACTCTGTGCATATGCCTTATTTCTAATTTCAATTTGGTTCAGCTTCCGGCCGCTGGCTCTTGTTCTCCCGTGCTCCATTAGGTGACTTTAGCAGCCTGTGCTGTAATCCAGGCAACATTTAGCCTGTTCTGGACGTATTAATCAGATGGACCAAGTCTCCCGCACTCAGGCATTTCCTCCAGCCATCCAAGTCTTTGGGGGCTCTTTGCTGGCCCGTCTCCAATGTTTAACCCCCTTCTTCCTAGAAGCCTAGGCCTGGAAGGGGCCATGAGCGGTCGTCTGCTCTGGTCCCTGCTCTCCAGGCAGGACCACAGAATAATGTTTTGAAATGTGGCATCAGAACCGGAGGCCGTAGAGCTCACCAATGCTGCGTACAGAGGTAAACTCATCCTCCTGCTCTTCACTCACTGCTCCAGTCTAACGGGCCAGGAGACCTAACAACACAGGGGGACGGTGTCACCGAGTCCCCGGGCGATGCTCTGGAACTGCTCCCCACAAAGCCAGTCAGGACATTGGGGAGCCGCCTCTCCCTCGGAGCAGACCGTCTTCAGGGCAAGAAGCTCACACAGCTTCACCTCCAGGGTCTCTCCTTGGAGCATTCAGCATATGCCCCTCCGTGCGCTTCCCACAGCAAGTCCACCCGGCGGGGTCCTGGGGAAGCCAGAGGGTCCTGAACCCCCACTTCACAGTCAGACGTGACTCTCAGCCAGCCAGTAAAACAGAGGTTTATTAGATGACAGGAACACGGTCTAAAACAGAGCTTGTAGGTACAGGGGCGAACGGGACCCCTCAGCCAGGTCCATTATGGGGTTCAGAGAGCCAGACACCCACGTCTGCCCCCACTCCTAATCCCCAGGTAGCTCCAACTCTGAAATCACCTCCAGCCCCTCCTTCTCCCGGCTTTGTCTCTTTCCTGGGCCAGGAGGTCACCTGACCTCTTTGTTCTCCCACCCCTTTAGCATCCCCTTGAAGGGGGGAAGGGCCTGGCCATTAGTTGCTAGGCAGCAGAGGGTCGGCCAGAAACTGAGGCACCCACACAGTATTCAGAGGAAACATTAAGAACAGTCCCACTTTGTCACGGTCCCTTTCCCCCCCCCCCTACACTCCCCTTCCCCCCTCCCCCCCCCGCGCAGACAGGAGACTGGGCTTGGGGGACCTTGGTCTGATCCAGTCAGGTTGGGCTGCTATTCCTGTAAGGCCCTTGACCCAGCCCAGGTTCTGAGCGGTGGCTCTGCAGGGCCGAGCTCCAGATACTGTTCAAATGCTTTATGAACAAGATTAAGGTGCAACTTGCTTTAGTTAGAAACCCCCTCACCCCTCCGCTCAGTGGCCCCACTTGTGCTGCAGTCTGTGTGACTTGCATCCCTGTGTCCATTCAAGTTGCACGCACACCTCCCGGGGGGTCCCCTTACAATGTGCCGCCCCAGGCACATGCTTTCTCATCTGGTGTCTGGAGCCGGCCTTGGCTCTAACCCACCAGACACACTCCCCTCCCAGGACTGGGGAGAGAACCTAGGAGTCCTGGCCACATCCCAGTCTGGTGCACTGTTAAGCCACTCAAGTACATTGACCAGTGGTTTGGGGAGAGCCCCTCCTTCCAAAGCACGTCAGACCCTGCTCTTGCCCGTTGCCCCTGACATCTGCTTGGCGGCGGAGGGCTGGGCCTGAGGGGCAGGCCAGTCATGGCGCAAGCTGACGCCAGGGCTCTGCAGCCCCATGTGCTGGGCCAAACTCCCTGGGCAGGGCTCTTGGGGCAGGGTGGGGCCGGGTGCTGAGTCATGGAGCCAGCAGGGCTGTGACCCTGTGACGTGCATGGAGGAGATCGCAGGGGCCATACCCACCCGGCACTCCCAGATAATGGGCCCCCTGGGCCGCCTGCCTGTGGCTTGTGACACCCCAGAGCCCCCCGGACCAGACCCCATCAGGCCTGGCTTGTTCCTCCCCTGACAGAACCAAACAGGAGCTACCAGCTGGACTGGGCGGGGGGGAGTGGGCTCTGAGCCCCATAGTCAGCACCAGCCCTTCCGTGCTTGGAAACAGACTGGGTGGGTGCATGCAACTGCCTGTGTGTTTGTTGTGTGTGTGTGTGTGTGTGTGTGTGTGTGTGTGTGCGTGCAGCTGGGTGTGTGTTGTCTGCAGCGCTGCATGTGTAGGGCACATGTGTACACAGGGTGTGGGCCGTGTGCGCTCAGAGATCACTGCATGCCCTGCTGGAAGGCAGCCAGTGCTGGGCTGTAGCGTGGCTGCTGCTGACAGTAACACAGCCCAGCCACTGAGAAGGGGAATCCAGCATCCCTGGAGGGGCATGCTGGCCACAAATTGCTACATGGGGCCCGAACCCCAACTCCTGTGGAAAGTGCTGGGGTGGGGGCCTTACACCCCAGAACAGTCTGTCAGGATCGTGCAGCGCCGCTCTGGGGCACTGGGAACAGCACTGAGTGTGTGTGGGGCGATCCCCCCCACTGAGCCCCCACCTCACTGCCTGTAGCACAGCGCTCCCTAGCGCTGGCCTTGGGCATTGGGGCCTGCACTAACTGTGAGGAGAGAGCGCCCTGGGCTGAGTGACTCGTTCACAGCCCCCATCATGCCATTATATGGGTCCGTGCCCCACAGTTTGCCATTTGTATCATGGTTGTGTTAGGTGTGTCTGTGCTGGCTGTGAACAGTGAGTCTGGGGCTCAGGACTGTGCCGTGGGGCAGGAGTGCCAGGCTACAGAGGGTGTCTTGTATGGTTATTATTGCTCAGAAATGTTACTGACAAATCTACGGCCAAGCCCATTTGCAGGGGAGGGTCCTTTTAATTAATCAGCTGGCAGCATGGGGGAGGGGGCTGCAGGTCGGGAGTGAGGGGTACCAGCAGAGCTGTTTGTGGGGAACCCAGGGCTGGGATAGCAGAAGGGCTGCAGGTCGGGATTGAGGGGCACTGGCAGCAAAGGGGGCTAGTCCCTACCCCCACATCACACTGCACTCTCAGGCTCTTGCTTTCATGGGCACCAAATTGCCTCTAACCCATTTAAAACACAGAAGACTCCCAGCAGGGGAGAGGGGCTAGTGCATTCCCTGCCCTGGGTGGGGAGCAGGCAAGCAGGGGGCACAGGGGATCAGGAGGGCTGAATTGCCCCCATAGGTCAGTGCCGCCAGCCCCACTCATCCCCCAGCAGCCCATCTGCAGCAGTCTCTGCTTCCAACAGCTGATCCCTCATCCCGCCTCACACACCCCCAGCCTGGCTGACCCCCAGTGGCCCTGGCCCCCTTATCGCTCCTGTTCAAACAGCCAGCACTGCATCAGCAGCAGAGCACTCGGCAATGGGACCTCGAGGAGGGGGGAAGGAGGTGGGTTGGAGGAGGATCCATCCTGGGGGGTGCATGGGGTGAGGGTGAACGAATTCCCTCCAAATGGCAAACAAGCAAAGTTCAAGGTCTCCTTCCATCCCAGCGGCGACGGGGGGCAGCACTCCTATGGGCACCAGATTCTGCCAGGTCACTCTGCCTGGGAGGGCATTTCCCACTGGATCCCCCCAGCAACGCCGGCTTTAGGAAGGGCAGGACCCAATTCGAACATTTTTGGCGGGGCCCCGGCAAGGATGACTAACAAAAAAAATAATGGAAAAAAAAGCCTTTAA